AGACCATAGTCACCGATGATTAGAAACACTGAGCGATATAGCTGGGTATTGCAAACAGTGGCGCTCATGCATCTACTCATTATTCTTGTAACTTCAGTCTATGAAAATGTGCTATCTTCCGCTAAATCTGCTCTCAACATTCTAATCATCATTCTGCTGTTTTATCCAAATGGGCAAACGAAACCGGCGCACGAAAAGGCATGGGTAATGGTTGTAAGAACTGAACTGAACTGAAATCCGCGGTGCGATTACTCCTAAGAATTGTCATAACCAATTTCGTGTCTCTATCGCTCACAAGGGCCCCTGGTTCATTCACTGTTATTGAATATTCTCAATTGGTTACTTTGGAATTCTCTCCCCTAGAATCCCCGATTGAGCACATCCTTCAATTCAGCTGCTTCAATCACCTGGTCTATTTATTCCAGGTTCTAACAAGTGTACTATTATCCTGTTAAAACTCGTCTGTTTGAATGGTAAAGGTTTCACTCACGGAGGTGAGGAAGATCTATGTTTTTGTTTTACCTTAGGCGAGCACTTACTGGATTGTCATTACTGGTTGGGGTTATGTTCGCCACATCTCGACCATTTAGTGAAAGCTAATCGGGAACACAATGAATCAGTCCGCTTGCTGTGGACGATTATTTCCCTCTCTCTCTCTCCCTCTGGCGAATTCATCAAGCGGCAAACTGTCACAGAGGCCCACAATGTGATGAAGATTAGAATGAGTCGAATTTCACAGTGCCTTAATCACAGCTGTTTTGTGACTCGCCTACTAAGACTGAAGCGATTAATGATGCAACAATACACCCTTTATTCTAAAACATGGGTTCCAAATCGTGATACACTGAAATATGGAATTGTTTTGGATGAAATCCACCGAACTTTTCAAATCAATCACAGTTGCTATCCATAGACCTTTAGCTCTTCGTTCGGGAGTAGCTCCGCCCCCCCCCCCCTACCTGAGCAGCGATCAAAACACCGCTCCTTTCGATGGTTTACTTTTCTCTTCTTTTTGGTCACTGAGATTCCACGGTCACCGACATAGTGCATCAATTGGAGCAGTCGCTGCCTGTTCCCCGATGCAGGCTCCTGTTCCGTCTTTTCGGCTAATTTTGCTCACCCTGCATTGAGTCCGTGTACATGGATCTTCTCCGACAAGCCTAAATGATGATAATAACTATGAATTTACGGCATCTCGTCTATTATGCTGTTCGTTCGCGTCTCACTGACTGGGCCGTTTTCTCTCATCTCAATCTTACTTAAATTCCCCGTGCACAGCCGGAAATGTTGTCCTCATCGCGTAGTTTGGTCGCCCGATTAAATGTGTTCGAACTGGGCACCAGCACTTCCGGGAGTACCACATGTGAACCGGTCACCTTGTTTCTCCTCACCGACTGTTTGGAAGTGGCAAGGCCTCGAAAACGACACACGGGCGAACCTTTGGCCCACGCGATGCGAGCTGCACTGGCCGCGGTCCAAGGTTGGTTTTGGTTTCACAGACTCGGTCTCGTTTTGACATTTTATATACTGCGCATTCAATTCGCCACTAATGATGATTTTAGCACACAATTAGTTATTTCCAGCAAAGAAATAAAAAACAGGTATACATGGCGGTGGTGGCCAAGTGGTTTGGTCATCAAATTGAGACCCGAAATTTCGAGGTTCGAACCGCTCCACCGCCGCCGGTTCCCTACTTCCGTATTTCCCCAGTCAACCTTTGTATGACCGCAGCCCCCTTCATGGAAGTTGACGGTACATTTGTATATTTAATAAATCAAAAGGAAGTAAAAAGACATTTAAAAGAAAAGAGAAAACAGCTTAAACGATACATGCATGTTGCTTATTCATGTTTTGAAAAAACGAGCATAGCTTTTTCAGTTTCAGTTTGAACAACCATTAACCATGCACTTTCGTGCGCCGGTTTTGGTTGCTGTCTTTTGGCTGCCCATTGGGATGAAGAATAGGAGAAGAAAGGAAAGTTGAAAGTGGATTCGAAAGGAAAATGGAGAAGTTCAGTGGACTAAGGTTGGGAA